CCGATCCCGATCCATGTCAGATGTTTTGCAATGCGACCGCAGTGTGAACGGTCATGTCGGATTTAATGCGGCTTTTACGTCACTCTAGATCGACATTCGTCATAATTCCGCTGACGGGAGACACTTCAAATATTTTACATAGGCTACCCAAAGTTATCAAGACAGTAGCGAAAGGTAATCAGTGGAAGTGTGATGTGTCAGAACTCATGTGTAGCTATTACAGTGACAACTCTACAAGCAAAACATGAGGGCTCGTATCATAAAAGTTTCAAAACTCTGCTTTCTTTTGTCACATCCTTGTCTTTATTTTTTCATATTGCTCGTGCACAATTTCGCTGGCTTCTGCAGCAGATCACACAATAAATAAACGCATAATCGCTTACTTTATATCATCCGTGTTTACTATGACGGCGCGCTGCGCAAGTGTTGCCAAATCCACATTTTCCCCTGGGCTACTTTTTCCTCTGTTGCCGCGGGATGTTTTTCAACTTCGTGGGTTGACACGACCCCACTAACGTGATGTTTATCTCCATGAACATGATTGGGCTAGTTTTAGACTCGTTTTGAGAAAGAATTGGGCGGATTTTGTTGTGAAAATCTGGAAACCCTGTTCGTATCATTGTTTTGCGCATGCGGGTCAGTTCAGAACCATGATCTGTTCACACTGGAAATCTGATATTGGCCACATTTAAAACAACAATGTGAACAGCTATACAAAAAAATCGGAATTGAGCACTAAGGCTTGCAGTGTGAACGTAGTTATTTTTTTAAATATACACTGCCAGTCAAAAGTTTTTGGACAGTAAGATTTTTAATGTTTTTTTAACTAATTCTCTTCTGCTCACCAAGCCTGCTTTTTTTTAAAATCCAAAATAGAAAAACAGTAATATTGTGAAATATTTTTACTATTTAAAATAACTGCTTTCTATTTGAATATATTTTAAAATGTAATTTATTCCTGTGATGACAATGCTAAATTTTCAGCATCATTACTCCACTCTTCAGTGTCACACGATCCTTCAGAAATCATTCTAATATGCTGATTTGCGGTTCATGAACCATTTGTTATTATTATTATTATCATCAATATTTAAAACAGTTGAGTATATTTTTTTCAGGATTCTTTGATGAAGAAAGATCCAAAGATCAGCATTTATCTGAAATAAAAAGCTTTTGTAACATTGCACACTATACAATTCAAACGCTTGGAGTCTTTTTATTTATAAAAATATATTTATTTATAAAAATATATTTATAAATAAATAGCTCAAATCATACTAAAAATGTCTTTTCCTGAGTAAACCGAAGGCTGGATATGATTGGATTATTTATCTCATGTGAGTTTTTAATTTTAGCAGTCGAGCATAACTCAGTCAGCAGAAATGCATCTGTCACAACAGCCCTTTGAACCTCTCTGACAAAGTTGTGCAAGTTTACTGCAGGCTCCTCGAGCCCTGAAAACATCAACTGTGTGAGCCTGCGGATCAGGACTGACCTCACATTCACTCAGTCTTTCTTTACCTGTCTGAGCGTCTACATGATAACAGCATGTGCATACTGCATATATGTGTGTCGGCTTCTCAAAAGAGTGACTTTGTACAGAGGAAAGCAGTTTCATAATGTCCTGTCACATTCAACAAGACCTTCAGGTGGGTGTTCAGCACAGTCTCTTATATAACAGAGCGTGAGAAGAGAAGAGAAGAGAAGAGAAGAGAAGAGAAGAGAAGAGAAGAGAAGAGAAGAGAAGAGAAGAGACTAGATGAAGAAATGATAATAGATGAAAAGAGGTCAGATGAGTGAGAAGAGACGCTGATAGACTTGGAGAAGAGATGATAAATGTCAAATAACGATAGAATAATGATAGAAATTATAAATAGGTATAGCTAAATTTCCATTCTTATACATATAGTATGAATGTGCATTCCTGATTTCTTCTCAAAAAGTTTTGTGTTTTGTATAATTAAATAGAATATATATTTTTTAAATATATTTTGGACATAAATTTCATTTTAAAATAAATTACTGTATCTGTATTTCCAAAACAGATATATTTAACATATAAATATTTATTCATTGTTTCTACTGGTATATTTTTGGCTTCTTTTCGTATACTTACATAAAATTTATTTTTTAAATATATTTTGAACATAAACTAATTTAAATTAGTAAATATATTCAAAAAAAATATATTGACTTTATATTATGAGTATATACTACTGATTGCTCCTAGTTTATACACACACACACACATATACATATATATATATATATATACACATACATTCATACATACATACATATATATATATACATATATATTTATACATATATATATATTATATATAAAATGTGTTTTTTAAATATATTTTGATGCACTTTTTAAATTAAAATACATGACTAAATATAGGCATTTTAACAATTATTATAAAAAATATATTTCTCATTTTTGACAGTTTTTATATATTTACATAAAATGTATTTTTAAAATATGTTTGATACTTACATTTTAATTTAAAATGTATATAAATTATTGAATATATTTAAAATAGATACATTTTAACTTATTAGGAATATATTCCTGATTTCTCTCTCTCTTTAAATTTTAAAATAAAATACATAATTTTGCTGTACAGGAACTGATGCAGCCACTCAAATGATGAGAAATCAAGGTGATGAGGGAAAAAATTATAATAGACAAGACATGACAACAGATGAGACGAGACGAATAAAATAGATGAGAAGAGAAAAGAAGAGATGAGACATGAGAGATGAGAAGAGATGAGAAACAAGAAAATGGACCAATAAATGCAACAAAATGAGAGGCGATGAGCAAAGAAATGAAAAGAGCATACAATGGAGAAACAGAAGAAGAAATAAGATGTTGACAGAAGAAGCTACAAAAGAAAGAGGAAGAGAACAGAGGAAGTGGAAATAAGTGAAGAAAAGAGAGACTTGGATGCAGATAAAGGAGAGAGAGAAATAAACAGATGATAAGGGAAATAGAGATGATATAAAATGATGTTGCGTTGGCGAAGAAAGCGGATAACGCTCTCTTGCTGTTATTCCAGCATATATTTAAAAAGACATCTCCCACACACTCCACCTGCCTTCATCCTACACACACTAACACAAACTCGCGTCTCGTACACATCCAGCACATCCATGCTGTAAATTCAACTGCAAATAAAGTTGCCTACACGGTTCAACTTGAGGCACATAAATTAGTATGCATTGTTACAGCACATCGGTCTCCCTCTCTTCCTGCGTGTGTGTTTTGTTCACTCACCGACACTCTTCACAATGTTGAGATTGCGGCAGGAATTCTCTACTGCCATCTTCTGCGGACTGTCACCATTCCTCACCAGCCTGAAAGAGAGAAAAAAAACCTAATAATCAGTGACTAGCAGAGATAAGAGGAAATGTGTGTGTGTGTGTATCAAAATGAGAACACGTCAGCCTGCTCTCAAAACACCCTACAGCTGTTTTAAGTCCTACTTATGTTTCTAAATGAGGGGAATATTGGTTCCTCATATTTTAATTCCCATTTAGCTTTATTACATTTTAACCCTGATAGACCTAAATAAGTCAAATCCATCAGCAGAGTCGTGTGAGTACTATTTGAGTCATACAGCACATGTGCCCACATGCAAATGACAAAAATGAACATACTGTACAAGTTAATGTAAGTGCATAAATAAGCTATATACATGCAACTGTGCATATATCAAAAATATTGCATGCATATAAATATATACTGAAGCATGGGTAGATAAATGACATTTTAAGCAGTAACAGCAGAGTTGTGCATAATTATTGTACAATTATTGACAGTTTTATGAGATCATATTAATTGAGAGACTATTTTTACTTTTAAAAACTTATTTGTCACACAGCAGGACAGTTTACTGTAAATAAACTGAAAAAAGGGATTATTAAAAATTGTGAAAAATGTGCTTATTCCCTTATACATATCCATATTTTTTTTAAGCTAAAAATGCATAAATGTATGAATATTTAATTATAGATAGATAGATGGATAGATAGATAGATAGTTTAGGTATATACTGTATATATATATATATATATATATATATATATAGGCCTACATATATTCAGTTACATATATTTAAAAATAAAATGCAAATACTGTTTATAAATATATAAATGCACACAGTCTATGAATTTATTTAAGTTACACACTAAAAAACTGATAAAAAAAAAATTCAAATTAACTTGTCTTCTGTCTGTCTCTCTTACCGGAGTGTGATGTTGTCCGGGTCGGCAGTGGTGTGAATGTCATTGTCCTGCATAGTGCAGGCACTTGTCGTCCGTTCACTCAGCTCTTCCATTTCTTGTCTACGCAGCCAACCTCCCGGTGTCGCCAACGGAGACCGAGAGCGAACTCCTCCCAGCACAGTAATCCCGTTGCTCGGCAACGAGATTCCAGAACGAGAAGGTGGACTGGTAAAGATACATAAATATTGTTAATACTTAAATAATGAGAGCTTTGAAGAAATTCTTAGTCTTCATTAAAGATCGAATCCCCACTCACAGATATGGTGTCCTCTACAAACACGCGCACATAAGTGAACCCGCATGTTGCTGACCACATGAACACAAACAGAAACAGCCAAGCCCAAACACAGTCACCCACACACCTTCAGTTCTCAACTCTAAACTCTCCCACCCACACACACAGACAAACATCTCTCATCCCGAGAAGATCATAACATACAGTTGAATCATATATCACACCACACAATAACTGAGACAGACAGACAGACAGACAGACAGACAGACAGATAGATAGATAGATAGATAGATAGATAGATAGATGTGTTTGTGTGCACTCACTGATGTGTTCTGGGAGAGGGGGGAAGTCGATTCGCTGCAGAGGGGCTGAGTCTATTGTAGGAGGCGGGGTCCACTGCTGGTTTAGGAGAGGAGGTGGGGCCTGATGGAGAGAATGGGAGTGGCTTATATTAATGAAAAATAATTAAACAGAATAAATGAGTTTGGACACATTTGAGTGGAATAGACTAACAGTGAATTGACCTAAATCCATCCTTGCATGACAGTCCTAGAGACAGGCACAGTAAGAGACTACAAAAATATTTTATAAGAAGGAAAAAAAACATCAGAAGTACATGGTATCAGAGATAAGTAAAACCAATTGAAATGCTTCATTACCTCCTTACACTGTTTCCCTTAGCTGCTCTCTTGACCAAGCGGCTTTCTGCTCGCTCAGTCTACACGAATTGCACGCGGTCACATGCGGTTATAGTGTGCTATTTGTGTTCCTGGATCGTGAGTTAACTAGGCGTGATCAGGAAGATCGCACAGCATGTTCGTCAAACAACTCCTTAAATAAATATTGATCCATGCGTCAATAAAACTCTTTCGAGCACTTGACAGACTTGTCTAGGAATGCTAAACTTTAACTGCTAGGAATTCCACTGATGCTTTATAATATGTTCTGGCCTAATTTTGAACAAAATTTAAAAAATATATAAATATTTACTAATGTTAATAAAAAATATATTTAAAGATATCATTTGAAATTTACTATAATGTCTAACTAGCTTTTTTGAAATTAAACCAGATGAGCATTTTGTTTTTATGAATATATGCAACAGATTTTGTGTCATGGGCATCTACTTCTTCACACAGCAGATCCCAGTTCCTACATTTAGTCTATGAGAGAATGAGCACTTGATCTGAGGTTTAAACCACACCTGACTGACTAACCAACATCACGGCTGTGAGTTCAAACTGAGGTCAGCTCAAAGAAAAAGTCCTAAAATACAGATTAAAAAACAATGACAGACTAGATCGGGGTCAATTTGTCACACCACAATGCGACACCAAAGTTATTTTATGGTCACACTATACATCGGTTAATAATTTGCTTTAATGTGTCACCAGATCTGGAGCAGCAATCAACAGTGAATGGGGTTGTTTTCCCAGCGGGCACTGCAATTTGAGAGACCCCTGTAATGATGCATGCAGAGTTCAAAAAGTGTGTGTGCTTTGCATTGTCTGAACAAATCAGCAAAACATATGGTACACCGACTACCTATACATTGCTAGACCAAGAAGTCTAGACTGTTTAGAAAAAATAGTCATGTTATGTAACATTCAGTACTTCAGATGTGATGCATTACTGCCCTTTTATATAATACATAGTCATATTTTATATAATATACACTGCCAGTCAAAAGTTGAATACACCTACTCAGTCTTTATTATGACTATTTCCCACATTTTAGAATAATACCAGGTTTCAAAATGAAATTATACAAATGGAATAATGTTATGACCAAAAAATCAAAACCTTTTTGCACATTCTAGACATTTACTAAACTTAATGAGCTGTATCCTCCTGAGACACATTTTAAACAATATAAATAACATTATAACCAGTATTAAGCTCAAATGTTTCAAATGCTATTTTTTTTTTTTTCAAACATTTTAGAGTTACTCGTCGTTTTATTTATTTGTTTACTTTTAATTTTTATTTTTCTGCATATAGCATATAAAGCCCAACTTGTTTTAGTTGTTGTGGATTTTCAACAACAATGTAGGTCTTTTAAATATTAACCTTTTTTTCTAGAGAGACTTGTTTCCTGGTTAAGGGTAACAACACCGCATAGACTTTGTACAGTAAGACTGGGGGATTACCGTATGTGTACATTGCACTTGCACTAACTTATGAGGCATTACAAAACAAACAGATTTACATTTAACATTAGCAGTGGAGTAAATCCTTTGAAATCCAAAGACACATTCTCACACACACCCTCTGACTCTTCATATTCACACCAAACTGTCAGTGAATAAAAAAAGAAGTGACAAATTCCAGAACAGCACATATTCACAGTCATATTCACTCAGAAACACACACACGCTACAGTCACAGACAACTGCAAAAATCAAACACCACACCAGAGTGGAGAGCATGACTTATACTAAAAGATGCTGGACTGTGCACTGTATTCTGGGTAATCAAGTCACCCATGTTCTTAAAAATGTAGCAGTGTTTCAAACATGATGAGCATACACAATAATCAGTGTAGCGTACTGTTGAATCTAAAGCGTCATATAAAAATAAAAAATAGGCCTAAGTAATCGAGTTTACAGGCTCAATTAAATGTGATGTGATAAACGGCCGTGTATCTATAAATAATAATAAAACATGTTTATTTTATTGAGTTGTATTCGCAGGATGCACGCAACCCGACATCACATTTTGCATACTATCTTACCTAAATAGTATCCGAGATTAGAAAACAATCTCTGAAAAAAATCTATTTATCTACTCAAAATTAACACCAATTAACACATTGCAAATCCACCATTTAAAAGGGCTATTAGTCAAAAATAATGATGACTACAAAGCAATTTAAGATAATAATAGCAGCATGGTAAAGAATTTAGCATTGGCCTTTGCTTTAGATAGCCTAATTAAAAATCAAGATTCATTTTCTTTGACAAAGTAAAGTAGGTGTGCTTCATAATGGCTTTAAGCAAATATGCAGATACAGAATTCATTTGTTCAGCCATACAAAAACAGCTTTCTATGGAAAAACCGGTGAGGCCCTATACATAATACAATCATTAACCGTGTCACATAAAATGCAAAAGATGCTAATATGCATACTGTAAGTATGCAACAATTGCTTACCTCATGCCGAGGACTTCACACAGCATTGGGTTTAATGTGTTAATGGGTGATGAAGAAACCAGTGTATGGTCTGTACACCAAGGATGTATTTTGGAGGCCAAACTACTAAAATATCATGCTGTGTTGTTTTGCTGGTCAGCTTCAGCAGTTGCTGGTAGATTCCATAAATACAGCATTTGGGCAAAAAACCTCAACTGACAGCCATTCAAAAGCAGCGTATTCTGATGAAATAATTTTTTGAAAGACAAGTCACAGAGATTTCATCAGTGACACATTTTAGATCTATTAGAATTGTGAAACTGACTTGAGGTATCTGTTTACTGTCTAATAGAGTAATGTGGGTTCAAAAATGCTCTCAAAAATGGAATACCCAAGAAGCAAAGACAGTCACTTCCAAGTTTGTATACTTTCAGGGCTTTGTGTGCTAGCAAAGCAACCACCATTGAGTTTAACAGAAATGCTAACATATAGCTTTCTTCAGTGGTCTCTTGGACTTTATACTGACACCTACTGATGTGGAGCTACCATCACACAGAAGCAAAGGTCTTCAGTTGAAGCAATACCTTATACTCATCCATTATTAATTTTGCAACGGAAAGCGACTGATAATGAGATGGCCACCAAGATAAAGTGAACAATATTCATGTGATCTCAATGGCGGCCACCATAAAGGAGTTTTTATAGACAACTGATATGACTTATCCAACACATCATCATGAACACTTGCCCGACATTACTATTAATTTCGCTTAAAAACAATTTTTGTGCAACATATGTAGAGATTATGTAAGATTCATTGTGATGTTTACTGAGGTGAGCTGATGAAAGGGATGTCAGCTTCATTGTTTATGGGTTTAAGTCTTAGTGTCATGCCAGTAATAGAGCAGGTCTTTCTAATGCTTTCAAGGGGAACATCACAGTGTCATCTTTGATCCTGACATCTACAGAGCTTAAACTCAACAACAGAGCCACAACTAAGGATATCGTGTTATTTAATCATTCACATTCTCCACAATGGTTGATTTGGTCTCAGTAATGCATCTATAAAGATGCTCGTGCTCATAAAAACACGCACACATACAAACAGTGAACAATTAAACCAGTTTCTCGAGTTTCGACTGCTTTGCAATTTACCGCGGGGCAAAATCATTCGCTCTCTCAGAAAATCTCTACGACTACTGGTTTGCCAAATCATAATTGTGTACAAGCCATTTAAATACACTAAATGTGTTTTTTTTGGCTCTGATTGGGACCAGGACTTGTTTGACAGTCAGATCTATCACTGCTGTCACTCATCAGTGGCATCAAAATCAAAAGAATCCATTGAACAAATGTCAAACACAGCAAGCATGCCTTAACTTCTTAAAGAAGTAGTACTTAACTTTTGATCATACTAGTGTAAAACTTTGATTTCAGTTGTGGATTCACCTTCACTCTTAAAAATAAAGGGGTTGTTCACAGCGATGCCATAGAAGAACCATCTTTGGTTTCCCCAAAGAGCCCTTCTGTGATAATTCTTAAAAGAAGTTAGTGTGAAGAACATTTGAATAATCTAAAGAACCTTTTTCCACTCTAAAGAACCTTGAATGGAAAGGTCAGTGCATGTTCTTCATTCAACCTTTATATAACAGTAAAGGTCACACAAGTAAAATGAAGAGGGTTCATTTTCAGTTAAGCTAGTCTATACAAACCATAGAAAACCATAGTTTTACAACATACAGGGAACAATAGTGCATTCTATTTAGACCCCACCACATTTGCTAGGTAGCGCTAATACAACAAACATATCACTTTCAGAAGCATACATTGTGTCTCATAAAGAGTTAGTAGTCAAACAATGAGCAAAGCTTCACTGATTTTAAAACGACAGATGTTACTCGTCTAACAATAAATATTATATTATTTATATACTATTATAGTATTTTTTTTTTCAATAGCTTTTATTTTATATTTTAGTTTTCAATGTAATTTTTGTTTAAGTTGTAGTCATTTTGTTGTGATTTTGTTAACAGTATATGTGGGGTATTCTAGAGTTTAAATAATAATATATATAAATCAATAATAGAATTCTCACTTTCTTGTTTTTCTGAAGACGAAGACAACTTTTTCTTTCTCATTGAACGGTAAAACCGTGAATTCCGTATCGGAGCTCTCCCGGACAATGTCTCATTGTCATCATCATCATCATCCTCGCTGGGCAGATGGGCCACTGGCGTCTGAGGTTTGGTCTGGACCTCTTGAGGTTTATGTCCCCACATTCGGAACAGGGCTGTCATCGCCATCAGCTATCAGTAACGAGATCCAGCCGTTCATGGAATAATCCCCATCTGACAAGCACAGCAGGAATTCCCATCCAGACTGAATCCAAACGTTCGGGCTCCCAAACACACAATCCCACCACAGTCACTGAGAAGCTATGCACCCTTTCTAGATAATCAACTCTCTTGTTCTTCTTTCATCTCTTACTTTTTCCTCTGCCTGAGGGGCAGGCGTGTTGTTACTGACTAGTTCACTAGGTCTTTCTCTCTCTGAATCCTCTCCTGTCTAGCAAACCTGTCCTTTGGCCCTCGGTGTCAAAGTTCTCCCCTCCTCCCTCTCATTCATTCTCGCCGGCCCAGCCTCCTCGTCTCTCCCGCCCTCTTGTCCTCCTCTGTTTATCGCTTGCCTTACCCTGTTCTCCCCTGAGCGCATAACGTCCAGCCCCACGTGTGTATCAAACAGGTAGAGACAGTCATCTAAAACAGCAGATCTTGTATTTTTAGTTGTCACTTTGCTAATTTGACGTTGACACCTCACCCACGATGTCTCATCAAAAAACATCACTGTGACTTCTCCCACACTTTGAAAGCAGCTTTTACTTTACTTTACTTTTAGTCATTTAGCAGACGCTTTTATCCAAAGCGACTTACAAATAAGAAAAAGTCATTAAAACTAAAAGCTAAAACTCTATAAATACTATATATATATATATTTAAGAAAATACAAAATTTAATAAAAATGACAAATGCATACAACAACATTTCAAAACTAAACATTTAAATGAAAACAAACAAAAAAAAACTAAAAACAATTCAAAATATGAAAAGAACAAAAGGTATGAGTATAATAATGATTCTAACATAACACTAAGCCAAACACCAAAAAACTACATATGTGTATGTACAGCCACACACACATACATATACATGTACATATATATAAATACATTCAATATATATATATATATATATATATTATTTCATTTCCATTTTGTATGTTGAAGTACTGAAATAACTCAAATTAAATTCAAAATTAAAAGCAGCTCTTTACAAAGACTGCTCTGTCAAAAAAGATTTTTGAGATTCTGAGTTGTAAATACAACAAGATTACTGGAGTATGTTTTACACAAAAATGCTATTTCAATATTTTCTACTTCAAAAATTCATGTTGAATTCATTGTGTTACTTGCTGTTTCTTTGTTTGTGAAATTTGGTCTTCATGTTTGTCTTTCTTTGTCTTTATTTTCTGTAAAAAAAATTGTAGGTTTAGACTTTTTTAAAAGAATATTTAATTTTTTTAATTTAATATATTTTAGTGTTCGTTATTATGCATAAATCTAACCAATCTTTAATTTGACAGAAAAGTGAAAGGAAAGGGTAAGAAAAATAATTTTACACAATTTTAACAACTAAAGAATGCAGAGGTGTTTTTACAGAAAAAAAAACATATTGAAACAAAAATACTGATCAAAAATTATATTTTGTGAACTCTAAAATATTTTAGTCTGAATTTTAGTATTATTTATATACTATTTTAGTATTAATTTTTTTTTTCAGTTTTTATTATCAGTTGCAGGCAGTTATCAGTTAATATTATGAATATTTAATATTTATTTTTTAATATTATGTTTTAAATATTTCTAAGATTACATTTCTTTTTACTTCATTTTAGTTCAAATTGTAGTTAAAGGCAACATTTCTCATTTTCATTTAAGTTTTTTCATCTAATATTTATATTTCATTTTATTTTATGTCAGCTTTATTTCTATTAATTAGAGTGTTTTTTAAAAGTTTTACTTTCAGTCAAAAATAACCACATTCTTTGTAACACCCTGTTCTCTACAGTCAGCTGACTGCTCAGGGTTAAAAAGTTCTCTCTCTCCTGCTTGGCCAAAAGTGCTCTGTCTAATCCCATTGTGCTCCTGCTGATTAACACACACTGACAAGCACACAAAAGCACAGACACACACACACACACACAGATCAGAATGTGCATGCAACCACAAGCATTTAATGAAAAATAATCCTAAAATTTCCACTGAAGCACAAACGTCAAGCACACGCACATGGAATAACATGCATCAAGCACAGATTATTAAATTGGGCAAACCTGAGTCAGACCATTTCTATCACAAAACAGAGAGAAACGCCTCTTACCATTACCATTACCTAGTCAAGCCAAAGATCAGTATTACATTACAAGGAGAAAGAGCATGCATACCTGAGAGAGAAATAAGGATTATTGGACGTCTCTGTGTGTGCGTCTAATCCAACCAGAATTGCTGGATAATGTAAGTTAAGTAAATTTGACAAAACCAACTTTACAGTCTTCTTTTAGCATTATGATTCGGATTTGAGTTTGCATGTTGCCATATATTTTAGATCTGGTATGTCCCCACATAGACAGTTTATGGTGAATGTGTGTGTGTGTCGGAGTATTCAGAGGTAGGGGTGTATAAACAAAGCCTGCTGTCAGTATTGAGTTTTGGGATAGAATGTGGATTCACTAAATCCTCGGATTCCTGAGATTATGTAATGCCAGTGGAAAGAGCGCTGCGTCAATGTGACGGGCGCACCTCGCTCTTATAAACTTCACCTGTGAAGAACAGGTGTGCCGCAGTTGGCTACATGAGAAACTGCCCAGCCTTGTCTAAATGATCATCAGCAGTAAGATCTAAGTCCCTGTGATAGCAGTTTTACCTCTATAATGCTTATTCATTAACTGTGTGAACAAATATTGTTTGTGCTGTTGCCTCATATTAGTCTATAAAAGTTGCTGATATTTTTATGTTTTAAACGTATGCAAATAAATAATCATTTTAATTACTGTTGTCATAAATAAATAAATAAACAAATAAAGTGGAATCAGAGGGAACAATGGCAGTATAAACAAGTATTCCTGGAAAACCAGCTAAAAAGAGCAGTTTAGAAAGGCTGGGAGAATGGCTAAAACCAACACAGGCTGTTTTCTTACGCATTTTGGTGGTTTTATGAGTCATTAACAGCGGAACTTGAGGTTTGTCATCATCTAGTGGTGAGATTTGCTTTTTTCTTTTGCAGGAGGGCCCTACTGTAAGCTATTACTGTACATGTGTTCACTGCAAAAAATGCTTTTCTTACTTAGATGTTTTGTCTTGTTTCCAGACAAAATATCTACAAATTCTTAAATCAAGAAGGATTTTCTAGACAAGTAAAAATTATTGTCTTGTTTTCAGAAAAAAAACTCATCAAAATTAAGTGACTTTTTGCTTAGAACAAGCAATTTAATCTGCCAATGGGGTAAGCAAAATAATCTTATTTCAAACTGAAAACAAGATTATTTTGCAAAAACTCACTTAATTTTGACTTGTTTTTTTCTGAAAACAAGACAATATTTTGTACTTGTCTAGAAAATCCTTCTTGATTTAAAGGGGTCATATGATGTTGCTAAAAATAACATTATTTTGTGTATTTGGTGTAATGAAATGTTTATGCGGTTTAAGGTTCAAAAAACACATTATTTTCCACATACTGTACATTATTGTTTCTCCTCTATGCCCCGCCTTTCTGAAACGCATCGATTTTTACAAAGCTCATCGGTCTGAAAA